GGCTGAGAAGCAGTGATTGACCCAAGGACACCCAGCGAGCTTCGTGGCTGAGTAGGGACCAGTCTCAGTCTGACATTCAAACTACTACATCACACTTTCATTGACTTTGCAAGGTGAGCTGAGGCACAAAAATGGTGGAGAATTTGTGGAGGGTTTCAGCACCTGCAGCTTGTTATGCAAGGCATGCCCTGTGAAGTGCTTTCTTCTGTACAACTGTTAAAGGTGCAGGAGGCTCTTGTCCCCTTTCTGCATTTGGCCAGCCTACCACACTGTGGGAGGGACGCTGGTGGCGCTGTGGGTTAAACCACAGAGCCTAGGACTTGCCGATCAGAAGGTCGGCGGTTCAAATCCCCGTGACAGGGTGAGCTCCCGTTGCTCAGTCTCTGCTCCTGCCAACCTAGCAGTTCGAAAGCACGTCAAAGTGCAAGTAGATAAATAGGTACCGCTCCGGCGGGAAGGTAAACGGCGTTTCCGTGCGCTGCTCTGGTTCGCCAGAAGCGGCTTAGTCATGCTGGCCACATGACCTGGAAGCTGTACGCCGGCTCCCTCGGCCAATAAAGCGAGATGAGCGTTGAAACCCCAGAGTCGGTCACGACTAGACCTAATGGTCAGGGATCCCTTTACCTTTACCTTTACTTTACCACACTGTGGGAAGTTTGTTGTTGTAGTAGTAGTAGTAGTAGTAATAGTAGTATTTGCTGTGCATTGTTCCCTTAGGTACAGACAAGACCCTCTTCTCCTCTTGGCTTACGACAAGGGTGGGGAACTGTTTTTGTGTATTTTGGGGGAAAATATCCTTGTATGTCCCCCATGGGCCAAGTTTGACAGGTGGGCGTGACAATCCACCTGGCAACCTTATGACCTCAAGTGACTGGCCTGTCAACATTTTCATTGAAATCCCTGCTAAAATGGAAATGCCCTGCTGCAGGCCTGTGTTAAGGGCCCTGCCATGGAGCTGTATAAGAACCCTGCTAATAAGCCAGATAAGTCATACCATAGAATCAGAGAATTGTGGAGTTGGAAGGGACCCAAGGGTCATCTAGTCCTACCCCCTGCAATGCAGGAATCTACCAAATGACACACCTGCTCTGTGACCCAAATGAATCGAATCCTTAACCAAACTGACCTTTCCCTTTGCTCCCAGAGAATTGTCCTGTTGTCCCTATTCTTTGATTGATCCTTCTCCTGCAGCAGCGAAGAAATGAACATTCTGTGACATCACAGCTGCTTGGCCATTGGCCGAGACTCACAGGCAATATGTGGCAGTATATTTGTAGCCTAATATATAGGCGAGATTAGGCACAAATCTGTTTTCTGTTTTAAGGCCAGCTTGGCTCACTTACTTGATTCTGAGGTAAAGATAGGAATAAACTTGACTGTCAGGGTTTTGGTTTTTTTTTATAAAAAAAAAGAATCAAAAGAAAGGATTATAAATTCTATATTCAGACATTAAGCTCATTAATTTCACATTATGGCAGGATAAAGTGTGTTAGTTTAAACTATGTTTAACTTCACCGAAGGTAAAAAATGACTTTGAAATAGGGGTTTTTAATTGACTGTAATGTAGCTATTGTTGGATTTCTTCCAGGCAGAGCCTGAAACAGTTCACTGAAGACACCATTGCGTTTTCTCGTTCCTTATGCGAGGTCACGTTACTGTGGAGTTGATTTAAGCAATGTATTATTATTGTCACTACTATCTTTCTCGTTACAATGGCATGAAGCCATTTTTCCTGCTTCACACAACCAGTTCAGATTTCCCTTTCTTAAATCAGACATAGAACAGCAACAATCTACTTATTTTGTTTATTCTTGTGTTTCTGTCTCACCTTTCCTTCCAAAGGACACAAGGTGGCATATATGACTCCTACCTTCTGTCACAACAACCATGAGAGGCAGGGTTAGGCTGGGAAAGTTGCCCAGAAAATGTTGAGTGGGAATCTGAATTCACATATCTCCACATCAGTCTACAATATTTACTTACTTACTTACTTACTTACTTAAAAAGGTCCTCAGGAAAATCCATCAGCATTTTGGCGAAAATTTCTCACAATACCTACAATTTCTATGCAATTATGCCTCAGATGCCAATTTTTGCAATCTTCCCTACTATCATCTATCTATCTATCTATCTATCTATCTATCTATCTATCTATCTATCGCCAGTGTGGTGTAGTGGTTAAGAGCGATAGACTCGTAATCTGGGGAACTGGGTTCGCGTCTCCGCTCCTCCACATGCAGCTGCTGGGTGACCTTGGGCCAGTCACACTTCTCTGAAGTCTCTCAGCCCCACTCACCTCACAGAGTGTTTGTTGTGGGGGAGGAAGGGAAAGGAGAATGTTAGCCGCTTTGAGACTCCTTTGGGTAGTGATAAAGCAGGATATCAAATCCAAACTCTTCTATCTATCTCTGTCTACCTATCTATCATCTATGTATCTATCTATTTGTATCCTAGCTTAGTAATATATGCATCTCTGTGCACATCACATGGCTGGAGAACTTCTTTGCAAAATTAGGAGATCTGCAGATTTCAAAGGATGCCTGTTTTGTATTGTTTCGGAAAGAGCAAAATAGTTAGATTAAATTACTTTCATCTTTAAATTCAAACAGAATCAAATTTCAGGGGAGAGGTGATTCAGAACATGTGGACTGATCTCATCCATAGACCCCCCCCAACACACACACCCCAGTCATTCTCCCCTCTCCCCACCAAATGTTGCTTGATTAGCATCAGTCTAAAGGAATCCTAGGTGTATATGGCTCCCTCCATTAATAAGCGATGCCTGATTGACTAGGATTCTCACTCCCCCAAGGTACCCAAGGCTACCAAATGCTTGAATTGGGAAAATATGCATCCGAACAAAAACAAAACGAAACACCTCCTGCTCCTCCCCCACCCCCAAAGTACTGAATGCAAAAAAAAATAATTATGTGTGGCTGGGTATTCCATTTATTTAATTCGTATATCATTGTCTAGCTGAGCTGATAGAAATAAATATTTTAAAGTGTCATTCTGCCACTAAGTGGTGCTATTTACAGCACAGCGCCTTCATGATGCTCACAATTTATAAGGGAAGGAGAGCTTTGTCAGAGCGATTAGACCAATGCAGACTCCTAGGTAGAATCTAGTATAACTTCATTAATCCTTTTGCTCAATGAGATAAATCAGGAAGAAACGAGCAAAGCAGATAAACAAAAGGAGTCTTCTAGCAGGAATCACTAAAACTCCAGCTCAAATCTTGACATAGCTCTTTGTACTGCAAAAACTACTGGCTTTCCCAGAGAATATTCACTGGAATATTGGGATACAGTACACTAATTCAACAGGATCAATTTCTAATGTGAGTATTGGTGTGCACAACTGTTTAAAACCTTGCTTACATCTAATTCTATGTTGTTTGTTTGTTTATTTGTAAGGCAAAATCCATCCAGCAATCAGAAGCTGAATGCATAAACCCTTGTGTGAACTAGCCAGAGAAGGAGGAAATAAATAATAATAATAATAATAATAATAATAATAATACTCTGCCCATCTGGCTGGGTTTCCCCAGCCACTCTGGGCGGCTTACAACATAACTAAATAATAACATAATAAAAACAATATAATAAAAAAATCAGTCTTTAAAAACTTCTCTAAACAGAGCTGCCTTCAGATGCCTTATAAAAGTCAGATAGTTATTTATTTCCTTGACATTTGATGGGAGGACGTTCCACAGGGCGGGCACCACTACTAAGAAGGCCCTCTGCCTGGTTCCCTGTAACCTCACATCTCGGCACTGGACCTCAGTGTCCGGGCTGAACGATGGGGGTGCAGACGCTCCTTCAGGTATACTGGACCGAGGCCATTTAGGGCTTTAAAGGTCAGCACCAACATTTGGAATTGTGCTCAGAAACGTACTGGGAGCCAGTGTAGGTCTTTCAAGACCAGTGTTATATGGTCTTGGCAGTCGCTCCCAGTCACCAGTCTAGCTTCTGCCTTCTGGATTAATTGTAGTTTTCGGGTCAACTTCAAAGTTAGCCCCACATAGAGCGCATTGCAGTAGTCCAAGCGGGAGATAACCAGAGCATGCACCACTCTGGCAAGACAGTCCACGGGCAGGCAGGGTCTCAGCCTGCGTACCAGATGGAGCTGGTAGACAGCTGCCCTGGACACAGAATTGACCTGCACCTCCATGGACAGCTGTGAGTCCAAAATGACTCCCAGGCTGCGCACCTGGTCCTTCAGGGGCACAGTTACCCCATTCAGGACCAGGGAGTCCCCCACACCCACCTGCCCCCTGTCCCCCAAAAACAGTACTTCAGTCATGTCAGGATTCAATCTCAATCTGTTAGCCACCATCCAGCCTCCAACCACCTCCAGGCACTCACACAGGACCTTCACTGCCTTCACCGGTTCTGATTTGAAGGAGCGATAGAATCATCTAGTCCAACTCCTTGCAATGCTGGAAACATAATGAAACCAACCCTGATAGATGGCCTGACAGTTTATTTTAGTTCTGCAATAGTGTTGGCCTTGCCCTATATCTGAAGATAGCAGGTTAGCTTAAGGTAAAGGGACCCCTGACCATTAGGTCCAGTTGTGACTGACTCTGGGGTTGCGGCGCTCATCTCGCTTTATTGGCCGAGGGAGCCGGCGTACAGCTTCCGGGTAAAGTGGCCAGCATGACTAAGCCGCTTCTGGTGAACCAGAGCAGCGCACAGAAATGCCGTTTACCTTCCTGCCGGAGTGGTACCTATTTATCTACTTGCACTTTGATGTGCTTTCGAACTGCTAGGTTGGCAGGAGCAGGGACCAAGCAATGAGAGCTCACCCCGTTGTGGGGATTCGAACCACCAACCTTCTGATCAGCAAGTCCTAGGCTCTGTGGTTAGCTTAGGAGGCACAAATAGAGTGGCTGGGTTAAAAAGAGGACAGAGCTTCTGCACCCTTAACAACTGTGTGCAAGATGGATGGAGAAGCTACGGCTGCTTCTTCCATGGAACTATTAAAGATGCAGTGTGCTGTGGCTCAGTCAGCAGAGCATGAGACTCTCAATCTCAGGGTCGTGGGTTCAAGCCCCACATTGGGTGAAAGATTCTATGCTTCTATGAATACTGTCCTCTATTTCATCTGGACCACCTCAGAAATGTAAGTTGAAGATACTATAGAAAACATTAATGAGAACACTCCATTCACCCCCCCTCCATTTCCATCTAGTGGCGGCTGGTCCATTAGGGAAAATGGGGCACTGACCTACCAAAGTCTACCCACAGCCAGCCCCCACCTACCTGCCTTCCCACTTATAAGCAGTCCAGGTGATTGGGTTAGCCAACTTTTCCTCCTCCATCTCAGCTATGCCCTTGTAGAACCGAGGAGAGGACAGGGGAAGGGGGCGGGGCTAGAACTAGTTGGTTCTGACTGCCATTGGCTTTGGTTCCATCTACTGTTTGGGCTCCCTGCTTTCCACCCTGCCAGTCCCAAAGGGCGCCAGACACCCCTTCTCTCTGCACATTTCAGGATAGTGACTTAACAATTCTGTTGATGCAAGAAAGTGAAAGAAATGAATGGAAGTGTTCTTTGTCTACCATCCATTAAGTTGGAATCAAACTGAGATTTTAATTATGTATTGAGTAGATGACTAAGAGTGTGATCAAGGTTAATAAAATTAGGGAAAATGACTTTTCTCTCCCCCTCTCATATAATATTAGAAGTCAGTGGGATGCTGATGGGGAGTAGGTTCCGGGCTGACAAAAGGAAATATTTCTTAACACAGTGGGTAATTAACTTATGGGTTCCAATGCCATGAGATGTGGTGATGTGCGCCAATTTAGAAACCTTCCAAGAAGAAGAAGAAGAAGAAGAAGAAGAAGAGGAAGAAGAAGAAGACTTAGACAAGTTCCCAGAGAATAGGCATGCCAATGACTATTGCCCCAAGATGGGCAAATGAACTTCCATGTTCAGAGGCAATCTACCTGTCAATACCAAGTTAAGAAAATAAGAACCTAAGAATAGCCCACTGGATCAGGCTAATGGCCCATCTAGTCTAGCATCCTGTTCTCACAGTGGCCAACCTGTGGGAAACCAGACAGCACAACACATATAATATAATAATACCTTTATTGTCAATGTACACCCTGTGTACAATGAAATTAACCGAGCTTCCCCCCCCCAACACTCAATCTCATTGCACTCAGTGTGCTTATCGCACAACACACCACCTTGCAAGTCAGTTGCACTATGTTATTTTCCATTCAACAGCCTAACAGCCCACGGATAGAAGCTATTTTTTAGCCTGTTGGTATGACTGATTATACTTCTATATCTCCTGCCTGAGGGTAGAAGTTTAAAGAGGTGCTGGCCGGGGTGTGTGTCATCCCTGAGAATTTTTCTCACTCTCCAAAGGCAACAATCCCTTGCGATGTCATGTAGTGGACTCAAGGGACAGCCCATGATATCATGTGCTGTATTCACCACCCTCTGTAGAGACTTTCTGTCCGTGGCTGTCAAGCCAGCATAGCACACTGTGATACAATATGAAAGGACACTTTCTATTGTGGACTGGTAAAAGGAGTTCATCAGTTGTTGTTTAACATTATTCTTTTGCAAGGCCCTGAGGAATTGGAGTCTCTGTTGGGCCTTTCTGACCACCTGAGTTGTGTTGGTTTTCCAAGTGAGGTCCTCACTAAGGTGAACTCCCAGGAATTTAGAGGAGGAGACTCTCTTCGCACAGCCCCCCCCCCTCGATATACAATGGGGCATGTTCCCCTCTCTTCCTCCAGAAGTCCAACACGATCTCCTTTGTCTTACTAATATTTAGGTACAAGTTATTCTCTAAGCACCATGTGGATACATGAATACCAGAGCATTCTCTGCTGTGGTTTCCAGCAACTGATATTCGGAAGCATTATCACCTCCAGCTGTGGAGGTAGATCATAGCCATAATGGCTAGTAGCCACTGATAGTGCTGTCCTCCATGAATTTCTTGAATCCTCTTTTAAAGCCATCCAAGTTGGTGGCCCTCACTGCCTCCTGTGGGAGTGTGTTCCAACCTGGTAGATCTAGGGTTAGGGTTGCCCCATAAGAATATGGAAGCTATGGCCTTCCAGATGTTGCACTCCAGGTCCTGTCACCCCCAGGCATCATGGTCAATGGTCAGGGATGATGGGAATGGTTGTCTAGGCACATCAAGGAGGCCACATCTTCTTAATCCCTGCACTACAGGGAAGTAACAGCTGTTCTGCTAGTTCTACCTGGAAGATAAAAATGGCAGTGGGCTCTTTCCAGTGTATAGGAGGAGGATGTCTTGCACTGTGAAGCCCACCAGAGCAGATCCCTAATCATCTGCCAACTTAAAAGGCATGGTGCCCAAGCTACATGATGATGTCTGAGTGGAGATAGCCCCATGGCAAAGTTCCAGGAACAGGTCTAGTCTACAGCCATGGCTTGCACATGTTAGATCCATTAATTTTCTTTGCACTATACTTTGCAACTTTTATGAGCATTTCAGAGCAGGAAGAATACATGTCAATCAAGAGGTGTACTTCCAGAGTTTGTTTTAATTTAAAGTCATATTATAGATGATTTCTACAGTATATTTTGCCCAAAACAACGCTTGCCAATTGTTTGGCCGTTCCTCATTATGGCTGTTCTGGGGAATGTGGTGTTAAGCCTCTAAATTAACTTGTCTCAATTTTGCATCTGCCCCCCTCCGAGTCCTATGAATTATTCTTCGAGCGTGAGTTGTTAAGTCCATTTTTGAAATGATATTGATGTGCAGGGGTGCAGCTTCTCCTTGAGAATAAGGGATGATTTATTGACCAAAATTCATAAAAAAATACCCACAAAATTAATGTTTCTTTCAGTGTTTGCACACAAAAATGAGGACAGATGCCAGAAACAGACGTGAATTTCCCAGGGGGAGAAGAAATATCAGAGGTAAATCAGGTTTATGCTAGAGACGTTATTAAAAAAAAATAAACAAACTCCTGTATGCAAAAATCCGGAAAAATAAATAAACTCCTGCATGCAAAAATAAATGCTCAAAACATCTAGAAGAGCTGGCAAGATAATTCAATACTGTGTGCATTCACACTTCCCAGAATGATGAGGGGGCTGCTCATCAATAGTAGTTCCCAAAGAGGCTTTCTTATTAAGGTGGTAGCATTTTGGGAGAAGAGCTGTAGCTCCATGGCTGAGCATCCATTTTGCATGCAGAAGGTCCCAGCTTCAACCTCTGGTTTCTCCAGGCAGAGCTGGGAATATCTCCTGTTTGAAACCCTGGAGAGCCACTGCCCATCACTGTGGAAACTGCTAAGAAAGATAGCCTCAGTGTAATGCAGCTTTCTGTGTTCCTGATTAAAACATGCAAAGAGCTCTTCTTTGCTAAAATCTTAGCTAGCCTCATCTACTTAAGTCCACAGAGGAAATGCCAAGAATACTGAACTGGTGGTTTCCAAACATCCTGCCCTCAGAGAACCCCTTCCACATTGTATTTTCTGCTGCACAATCCTGGAGCCATAGTCCTATCCTCAGGACTCGGTCCAGTCCCAATGTACTTACTTCTGAGTAGAAATGCATAAAATTGTGCTGCTGCTTAGTATTAAGTATGGCATTCCTGGGCACTGGGCAGGGGGAGAATCATGTATGTCACCTTGAGCTCTTTCCTTCCGTTTTTTAAATCTCGTTATAACTTTGGCTTCTCACAAAATTCCTCAGATGCATCAAAATGAAGAACTCCCAAATGAGTTTCAAATTCCACATGAATGAGTGCATACCCCCTCAATGGTCCCACTTTAAACGGGACATCCCAGAATTACAGAAGCCACCCCAATTTCTGATGGGATCCCGAGATGTCCCATTTTGGCTCCCGCAAGATCGCAGTCCCAAAATACACCCATTTTGGTAGACCTCACTCTTGTGTGAGTCACTGAAAAACACAGAGTCCGTCACAGTGTCTGCGAGATGCTCACAGTCCCTGAATAGTGATGGTGCTGCCTAGAGAGCCACTACTTCCACCCAACATTGGAGGAGGAGAAGGCAGACACTCACTCTGGCTTCCTCCATGCCTCCTTTCCACCTTCCAACAGGCTGCATCCCCTGCCAGCAACTGGCTCTAAGGAGAGAGCCTGGGCTCTCTGTTGTGCAGCGGTAAATTAATTGATGCAGAGTCTTCTTCATAAACAGAATAAAACTTTTACTTGAAGAAAACAAACTTGTTCAGAAACAGTATAGTCAAAGAGCATACACAGAGTGCTCATAGCAACTATATGACTCCTCGCAGAGGCACAGTCTTAAGTTAGTGATTTACTAGAGTCCTGGAGCCACTCGGTCTGCCTTAGCTTTACATAGCAGCAACAACAGCGCTATTCCACAGACTACTCCATACACAATCCATACAGCTCTCTGACTGAGGCCCATAGAGAGGCTGCCTACCTTTTATAGGGAGAATGAGTCATCACCCAAGATGAGTCATGAGTCACAATGACGTAGCAGTTTGCTGTTAACGGTTAGCATTCAGCAGGTTTAGGATTAAATGATTGTGTAGGCCTTGTAAGCTTTACTGCTTCCTCTGCTCTTAGCCTCCAGGAAACCTGCCCTGCCAGGATGAGTTGAAGATTCCAGCCTTGCAGTGGGTTGGGCTCAGATGACCCACAAGAGCCCTTCCAACTCTGTAATAAATAATAATAAATAATAATAATAATAATAATAATAATAATAATAATAATAATAAAAAATTTATACCCCACCCATCTGGCTGGGTTAACAGAATATTAAAATACAAAAATCTATTAAACATTAAAAGCTTCCCTAAACAGGGCTGCCTTCAGATGTCTTCCAAAAGTCTGGTAGTTGTTGTTCTCTTTGACATCTGGTGGGAGGGCGTTCCACAGGACGGGCACCACTACCGAGAAGGCCCTCTCTGCCTTGTTCCCTGTAACTTGGCTTCTCACAGCAAGGGTACTGTAGCACCCTGCTTGTGGTTAACGCTTAGCTGGAATGAAATATTCAACGCAGCAATAGAGAAATTAAAATAATAATTTATTTGTCAGACAAATAAATGAGAGACACCGTGGTATATGGTTACCAAAGCTCTGC